AAATCGAGGCTAGTCTTACCGTAATATAGGGACCGCAATAATTAGAATAGAGTAGTGGGGCCCCGTCATACTATATTTATAATAAGGAACCCCCAAAAATAGTATAGGTAATTATTAGGGCCCCTATATTACCCCCTCGTTCCTTGTGACATGCACGACTACGAAGCTGTCATTTGGGAACGGAGATTGAGAGCCCCTGCCAGGTGCCCTAAGTTTCATACGAGGGAAGAATACTTTGCACCTTTGTCGACTCTTACGATTTGGGTAGTTTTCTAAATTAGGGTCCCTCTTTAGGTCCGCGATATATATAAAAAGGACCCGAAAAGGGACCCTCATTTAGAGAATTACCCATCTAGGGTTTAGAGTTTAGGGCTTAGGGTTTAGGGTGACCAACCGAAACTCCCACCCTCAAGTACTGCGGGCTTGCACTTGACACACACACACACAACACGGCTTCTGTCATGCTGAGCTTACTCTTCTGAGCGAAAGAGAGGGAGGGAGACGCAGAGGGAGAGAGAGAGAGAGGGAAAAAAATAAAATAATGATATAAAAGGCTCGGGTGCGCATGAAGATGATCGGATTAAAGATCTCTTTCCGTGGATGGTATTAGCCAAGACGGTGCATGGATCCTACCCCTCAACAAGGAGTCCACAGCATCACGACCTCCATTACAAAGGTTGGTTAGTCCAGCTTGGGTGCATTGGTGCTCCACGTCCAGGACCTGTCCCAGCACCGCTCATGGCTTCTGCACATGTGTCTGCCACTGAAAGCAAAGCTGGTGCTAATGTGTTCCGTGTTCTCATTGCAGAAAACATGGGAATTGCGGAAACGATCGTATAAAAGTAGTAGTCACAGCACTCCGTAGTCGTGGGCATATTCGTGGCCGTAGTTGTACTCGCCGTCGTCGTCGTCTTCGTCGTAAAGTAGTGGTAGCGGTAGTGGCAGGAGTAGTTCTGGTGGTCGTCGTAGTCCGCGCAGTCTTCGTAGTCGTCGTAGTCGTCGCAGTCGTCGTCGTCGTCGTAGTAGTAGTAGTAGTCGTAGTAGTAGTAGTAGTAGCAGTGGTAGTAGTATGGCCAGCTGAACACAACAGCGAGCTGAAGAACCAACTTACCAAGCACATTCCTCCGAACGCAACCGACTAAGCACGGTTTAGGGTTTGGGGTTTAGGTGTTCTTGAAAAAAAGCTCAAAACATTCCCCGCCACTCAGCTTTCGGGGACTACTCTGCCTCAGAGCAGTCAGTTCAATATACTACTGCGACCCACGAAGCACGGAGAATATCAGCATTGAGACTGACCGACCGCCCAGATTCAAAAGGTCGGGGATTTTAAACGTTATTTTGGGCACAAGGCAATCGTATACACCTGTAATCCCGAACGTTCACAACCTGCATTACCAAGTCTTCCGCCGTAAGCCTCGCACACTGGCCTGGCCTGCAAACCTTCAACCCTTCACTGTAGACCCTAGACCCTAAACCCTAAACCCCTAAACCCCTAAACCTCCAGATCTCTGAACCCCTAAACCCCTAAAGCCCTGAGCCCCCAAACCCTAAAACCCTAAACCCCTAAGACCCTAAACCCCTAAAACCCTAAACCCCTACACCCCTAAAACCCTAAACCCCTAAACCCCTACACCCCTAAACCCCTAAACCCCTAAACCCCGAAACCCGGGCTCAGGGTTTAGGGTTTAGGGTTTAGGGCCTAGGGTTTAGGGTTTAGGGTTTGGGGCTTAGGGCTTAGGGTTGCAGGGGTAGGGTTTCGTGGCTTTGTGGTCTCAAGCGGATCATCTACTATTCCAGACCACACTCTTGTTGGAGCACTTTTTGATATACCGAAACCATACCTGCTTGCTTTATCGAGGAACTCTCCCCTACCTGTGTGTTGGGCTTCATGCAGCATGGCTTAGGGTTTAGGGTTCAGGGTCTAGGGTTTAGGGTAATTTATGGATCTAGCTCGCGCGACTTCCATGTAGGTTCCTGCCGAAAACACCGTAACTCCTACGAAACCCCAAACATCCCCACAATGCTCAAGCACTCCACCCCTAGCAAATTCCTGGGCTTCACACCCTATCCTGCATCCTTCGCGGCCATACCCTGAGCCTTTTTTGGTCTAGAGTTTCGGGTTCACCTAAACCCCAGACAGGCCAGGTTTTTTGGTGGGCTAGCTATTACTGTGCTGTAGCGGTGGGTCTTCATGGACCTCAACTGAACTCAGCATCAGCTTTTTGGTCAAGGGCTGTCTCTTGGAAGCCGGGGAAGCTAGGGTTTCATGGTTTAGGGGTTTAGGGTTTAGAGTTCAAGGTTTAGGGTTATGGGTTGAGGGTTTATGGGTTTAGGGTTTAGGGTTTAGGGTTTATGGTCTAGGGTTCAGGGTTTAGGATCGTTTCAATGCTTCCTTCAGGCATCAGGATTTCGACACGAGTCCATAAACCTTCAGCAGAAAAGACGCCAAAGCCCGTGATGAAGACAACATTGGCAAATCCTAACATGGAGCCACACGCGCGGCATCCCAACCCCTGAACCCATAAACCCTACAGCCTAAACCCATAACCCTAAACCCTAAACTCTAAACCCTAAACCCCTAAATCCTGAAACCCTAGCTTCCCTGGCTTCCAAGAGACAGCCCTTGACCTAAACCCCGGTAAACCCTAGAAGAACCGCCTCTGTAGCCGAGAGGTGATCGATGCCATCCTGAGCGGACGAGCGCAGCTCAAGATTACACAGGGCCTAGGGTTCAGGATGTCGGATTTAGGGTTGAGGGTTCAGGGTTTAGGGTTTAGGGTTTAGGGTTTAGGGTTGAGGGTTGAGGGTTCAGGGTTTCTGATGTCGGGTTTAGGGTTTGGGGTACATCCAGAATCCTCTGACGGACCCATTTTCGAGTAGATTCCGGTAACACACAGCTAGGAGCCGGTTTAGGGTTTAGGGTTTAGGGTTTAGGGTTTAGCGTTTAGGGTTTAGGGTTTAGGGTTTAGGGTTTAGGGTTTAGGGTCGTCGCGTCGGTAATGACGGTAATGGTGGTAGTGGCGGTAGTGACCGTGGTAGTGGCACCGACAGAGTCACAGCTGTCGCCGTCGTTCGTCCTACCAGCTGCGGCAACAACGACCATAGCGTCGTTTTGATGAAGGTAAGCCTAGTTTAGAGCTGCGGCCGAATTCGATACTTAAACCCTACCCAAAGCCAATCAGCCCTAGTTAAACCGAATGAACATCAAAGAAAACCTCGTTATCAACACTCCCAGGTGGAGGCTCGGGCTATAGGGCTCTTGGGCTTTAGGATTCTTTTTACTTGGCATCTGAGGCAACAAGCCACAGCGGGCTTCAGGGGGCATATGTTTTCGTGCATCATCTTGCAACATACTGCTTCTACTTTCTATCTTCTCTTATCTTATTTTTGTGTCTCTTTATACTAGATTACACTGCGCTGGGCTAATAGTAGACTCTACTAGATTACTTGATTCGGTTCGATAAAAGATTCTGTTAAATACTGCATTCTACTCGTGAGTTGAATTCTTCGAGTCTTCGCGCATTGAGAGCGTGGCAGCAGGAGCCTCAGATAAATTGGCAACCTGAGGGCTTCTTAACTAAGTTGGGAGCTTAAGTTTAGGGCTTAGGGCTTAGGGTTTAGGGTTTAGGGTTTAGGGTTTAGGGTTTAGGGTTTAGGGTTTAGGGTTGGCATCTGGGGCGCGATGGTCTTCGGAGGCAAGACGTACTGCCCGGAGAGGGTGAGAGCATCCAAACAGTATTTCAAGGTATGCCAAGGTACGTCCAGGTACTGGCTAGTATAGGAGCCTTAACAGTTACCTATACTAGCTTGGAAGTTCTTAGAATTATAGTATAATAAACCCGAAACCCTATTCTAATTCTTAAGGCCCCTATATTAACTCCCCTGGCTCCGAGCGCTCCCAGGCAAAGACATCACGAGAACACTGAAGATGCCAGTAAACACTGAACCCCACACTCTACCCTAAGGGTCCAAGTACCCAAACCCTAAACCCTAAACCCTAAACCCTAAACCCTAAACCCTAAACCCTAAACCCTAAAACCCAATAATCGTATACTCTCCCAAATATTAACCTAGAGAACTACTATCCGTAACCCAAGTACCTTATTATTTGGTCCTTTGGACCCTTAGGGCTATCCCTCAACCGCAAACCCTAAACCCAAATAGCCTCTAGACTCTAACCCTAGATACCCCCTTAACTCGATCCCTTACACCTAAACCCTAAACTTCACCCTAAACCCTAAACCCTAAACTTAACCCTAAGCCCTTAAATACCCCCTAAACTCTAGCCCTTAAGAGTCTAGAACCGCAAGACACTCCCCGAGGCCGAGGCATGCCCACCCACCGCATAGACGAGAGGATATGGGTAGAAGCGTATTCCCAGGTGATCTGCCTCCAATTTAGGGGTTTAGGGTCTAAGGGTTTAGGGTTTAGGGGTTTTGGAGTATTCCCAGATGATCTGCCTCCAGGTTGATGAATATAGGGACCTTAATGATTAGAATAGGGTTCTGGAGCCCTTTATAGCATAATTATAATAAGGAACCCCCAAAATAGCATGGGTAGTTATTTAGGACCCCATAGTAGGGTTTAGGGTTTAGCGGTTTAGGATTTAAGGGTTTAGGATTTAGGGTTTGTGAGGGCTTAAAGATGGCTAGGGAAATTGGACCCTAAACCCTCGTGCATGGTGCTGCTGCAAATGGTCCGCTTTGGGTTGACGTCGGCTCGGGATTTAAGGGTTCTTGGTCTAGGGCAAAAGGGTTTACGGGTTTGGGGCGTATATAGAAGTTTCGAGGGTTTAGGAG